AACTTTCGGGTGGCACCTGTGGTTCAGTGAGTAGGGTGCCGGCCCCATATACCAAGGGTGGCAGGTTTGAACCTGGCCCCAGCCAAACTGCAACAATAAAATAGCCAAAGTGTTGTGGCAGGTACCTGTAGTCCCAGCTACTTGGGAGGCTGAGGCAAGAAAATTGCCTAAGCCCAAGAGCTGGAGGTTGCTGTGATCTGTGATGCCACAGCACTCTTTCGAGGGTGACAAAGTGAGATTCTGTCTCAAAAATAAATAAATAAAATACTTTCAAGCTATTTTATTGCTAACTAAGTCCCATTTCCCAAGTTCCTAGTGAGACTGAGCGTCTTTTCGCATGTTTATTAGTCATTTGTACTAGTATTTCCCCCAGACCTGATATGGATCTTTCTTTAGCTACTGCACCCCTTATGGAATTGTCATTGGGGTGCACAGGTAAAAGAGAAGAAAGAAGGAAGTTAAGGAAACAATGGAGGAGGTGATTGCAGAGGGAGGGAGAGGAGAAGGCCCCAGTTCTCAGCCCTCCTCGCCTGGCTTCTCTCTGCTTCTGTGTTCTCTCCAGAATCAGCTCTGTCCTAGGGCTTGAGCACCTAGTGCCTTCCCCTCTACCTGTCTGGAGAGCCTCAAGCAGGACAGGCTGAGGAGCCTTGTCCTGGCCCCTGGAAGAGCATCTTAGACATTGTTCCAGAGGAGACGGTGACCCTGAAAGGAATTCTTTTGCTGCTGCCTTGTAACTACCAACCTGTCCCCTACTGTCATTCCATGCCCGACATCCCCTCCCTGAGACTTACCACACCCCACATTGATCATATCCCTAAGCCTCACTCCACACCCGGTCCCAGCCCCATCTCGAATCTCCCTGTCTCCAATGCCTCACTACATCCCTGGATCTCACTCAGCCCCTCCCAAACCTCCCCTATTTCTAGATCTCTCCCTGTTCCTGACATTCATCCTCATCTGACCTTACCTGAAGCTGCTGTCCCATCCCCACCCCCTCACCTCTAACTGCAGCTTTAACAGCTGATCCCAGTGACAACCTTCATCTAAATCCTCATCTAAATCCTACCTCTTAGAGCATAGAATGATGTTACTATAACCCATGGCTAATGGGTACAGGAATACAGTTAAATAGAATAAGATCTATCAATAGTATTCATTAGGACAATAGAGTGATCATAGTTAACAGTATTTTATTGTATATTTCAAAATAGCTGGAAGAGTAGAACTTAAATGTTCCTAACACAAAGAAATGATGAATTCTTGAGGTGATAGATATCCCAATTACCGTAATGTGGTCATTACACATGATACATTTGTGTCAAAATACCACTTACAGATTCAGTGCCTGTAGCACAGTGGTTATGGCTCCAGCTGCATGCACCAAGGGTGGCGGGTTCAAACCCCACCCAGGCCAGCTACACAACAATGACAACCGCAACAAAAGGGAAGCCTGCCAAGGGCAGGCACCTGTAGTCCCAGCTACTTGGGAGGCTAAGGCAAGAGAATCACTTAAGCCCAGTTTGAGGTTGCTGTAAACCGTGATGCCACAGCACTCTACAGAGGGTGACATAGTGAGACTCTGTCTTAAAAAAAAATACCATTTGTACCCCATAAATATGTATAGCCATTCTATACCCATAAAAATTTAAAAATTAAAAAGAAATCCCATCTCTGAGCCTTATCCCATTCCCACCTTCAAGCCATCCGTGTTCCTTCCCTGTCCCACCTAAAGACACACACTTTTTTCTTTTTTATTGTATGGGATTCATTGATGGTATAAAGAATTAGGCTACACCAATTCCATTTGTTGAGTAAAGTCCCTCTTATAATTGTAAAAACATACATTCTAAGTTTTGCTTAAGCTGCTTTGAGTTCGGTTTCTATTATTTGCCATCAAAAGAGCCCTGATGTCTCCAGTGCTCACGTGGGACATCGCCACACAGAAATAGATCTAATGAAATAAAGCACAGAGGCAAACTCGATGTGTGGCCGAGAACAGCATGGGGCCGACAGGGGCACAGACGAGAAGAGCTATGAGCAGATGGTGTACAATGAGCAGGGGCCCTTTCAGCATTCATTCATTCGTGCAATAAATATTTGCTGAGCATTTAATAGGCTCCAGGCAATGTGACACACATGGGGATATAGAAAGAACAAGACAGACAGCCTTCCTGCCTTGAAAGAGGACAAACAGACAAGCACTAAGCAAGCAGACAAGGGGAAGGTGAGCTACTCTGTTCTGAGGGAGCCAGGCAAGGTCTAACTCAAAATGAAGGTCAAGTTAAGGTGAGGCTGAGATTCTCTCGGAGAACAGTCCTTTTTTACCTATAGACAGGTAGGATGTCTTTGGCCTGTGAGACCAGAATGAATAGGAGTTCCCGTCCCTCAAGAAATTGTTCTAACAGGATTTGAAGCCCCAGAGAACATCACCCTTCAACCCAGAGAGACGCCTTTTGGGGGTGCTGTTCCCATTCTACTGAAGGAACAGCCAACTATGCCACACACACATTTGATTCTGTCACACCCAAGATACTTCCCCAGAGACAACCTGGAACAGAGACTTTATTAGAAACATCTGACTGGTATGGGCTTTCTGGGTTGCTGGTGTTCTCTGTTAGTGTGAAGGCTCCAGGAGGGCAGGACTAACAGCTGCTAATCCAGCTCCACACGTGGCTTGGTGCATGCCCAATACAGGCTGTCTGCGCTGTTGGTCATGAGGGTAGAGGGAGTCCTCATGCAGTGGGTATGCCTTCCCACCCCTCTTCCTTTCTGGTCACCCACCACACACAGGCTGAGGGTGTTTCCAGCTCCATCGCAAGGCCACCTAGTGGTATCACCTGCCCCAATGTCCCCAAGCAGACACTACAATGTACGTAAGATAAGAAAATAGTCCCAAGAGCTCAGAATAGAGGACACAGAGATACCAGACAGCTTGGTTGGGTATCTTCAATGGCTGAGATGATAGTCTTGAGAGGGTCAACAAGAGAGTCTAGCCCACATTAGAAAATAGCTTCAGCCCCTGTTCTTTGATCTAATGTCAAGTTCAGGCTGTGGATGTGACCCCACTAATTATGCAGTGAGTGGGCCAAAGATACAAGACCTCAACAAGAATGATAAAACTTCCTTTTATGGAGTTATGGAGGCCTGTCCTTGGTGGTGCCTTAGCAGTTCCTTCAGAAGGATGACTTGGCCCCCTGAAGACACCAGTTCCTACCTTCCTGGCATTCTACAACCTCTCTCCCAAAACCAGATAGTATCTGTCCAGAGTCAGACTTCTCTCTACTCACAACCCTGGAGTATTCTTTCCTTATGAGGAGATATATTCTTTCAAGGATGATTTTCAGGGCGGCACCTGTGGCTCAAAGGAGTAGGGCGCTGGCCCCATATACCAGAGGTGGTGGGTACAAATCTGGCCCCAGCCAAAAACTGCAAAAAAAAAAAAAAAGCAAGGATGGTTTTCAGAGGGCAGGAGACACACTGATAGAGGAAGAAGTATAAGACGTAATGCGATGGCGTGCCATGAACTCCTTGCTGACCAGGCCACGGGTGGCCAGAACCTTAAAGAATCCATGGCGAAAATTTTGGCCAATGAAGGCATAGATGATGGGGTTGAGGCAGCTGTGGAGAAATCCCAGAATCTGAGTGACTTCCAGGGCCCGGTCAACGTCATTGCGGCGCTCACAGCTCTCCTCGATCATCTGGGTCCTCATGAGGGTGTCTGTGAGCAGGACCAGGTGGTAGGGCAGCCAGCAGAGCAGGAAGATGAGGACAACAGCAAAGATGACCCGCATGGCCCGGTGCTTCTGACCCATCTGGGCCTTAACCAGTGTGCGAAGGGTGAATCCGTAGCAGAACAGCATGACCAGCAGTGGCAGGACAAAGCCAAATGTGTGGGGCAGGATCCGCAGCACCATTCGCCACTTTGCTGTGTTATTTCCTAGGATCTCATAGCACACTGTGATGGAATTGTTTGGATTATATGCTTCACGGAAGAGGAAGAAGGGCAGGGACAGAGTTACAGACAGTCCCCAGGTGCTCAGACATATGAACTTGACCAAGTGGCGCTTCTGGGTGAACGTGCGTGTGGCATGGACAATGGCCAGGTAGCGGTCCACACTGATGCAGGCCAGCAGGAGAATGCCGCTGTAGAAGTTGACTTCCTTCAGGAGGGACACCAGCTTGCACAGGGGTGTGCCAAAAATCCAGCCATTCACCTTGGAGGCGGCCCAGATGGGCAAGGTCAGGGCAAAGAGCAGGTCAGCCATGGCCAAGTTCAGCAGGTAGACGTCAGTAACAGAGCGGCTGACACGGCTGTATAGGATGACCAGCATCACCAGGGAGTTTCCCAACAAGCTCAGCAGGAACACCAGGGCATAGATGGTGACCACTGCATACTTGTTGAGTGTCTCAGTCTCTTGACTACAGGGTCTGGATTCTTCATCTACAGCTGGCAGGCCAGTGAAAGACTCTTCATCATCCCACCACCACCAAAGATCACTACTGTTTTTCTCAGTTTTAGCCATGTTCAATCTAGTTGAAAGGTCAAAAGGAAAGAAATATGACTGATTAGCTCAGACCAAGTCGCTGTCATCAAGGATGGGAAAAGAATTATTGGGACATCTTTTCCTCTCAGTTGGCTTGGCAACCAGAGATCCTCCCGCTTTGGCTCCTCCTTTAGAGGTGGATTTCCCAGTACTGTCCACCCTCCACAGCCCGGAGGCCTGGCCTCAGTATGGGGTAAGATGGGATACAGGGAAAACCTGCACCTGTCCCAACTCTGCCTGCAACTCCACCTCTGCCTCTGCTCCAGCCTATTCCATCCTCAGCCATGTCTGCTCAGAAGGGAGGACCGACCTGGTCTTAGACAGTCAAAGAGGGGTCAGCATTTAAAAAAAAAAAGCAGAAGATGGCAAATCTGTTCCCAAGTGTTCCTTTCTGTCTTATTTCCCCTCCCATGTTCTCCCTGATAGGAGCCAATTTGACATCAAACTGTATGTTAAACCTTGTCTTCAAGCGAGTGATAAAAGTTTTGGTCCTCTTTCTAAAAGATTGTGTGCATTTCAGAGGATAAAATCCCCATCTTGGTCCTGGAACACCTAGTAAACATGAGCAGAATCACTCAGCAGTTATCAGAATTTTACATTGGAAGACACTTTGTTGAAACAAAATCTTCCCAGAAGCCCAATATGTAAAATAGATGAAAGCCGAGCCTTTCTGGGGGGCAGTGGGCTGTGTGTATTTCTCCACACAGCCCCGAAGGAGCTCCATCTTCACCTCCAGGGCTCTAGAGAGCAGACTGAAAACCTCTGAAAAGTCACCTGGAAGGGAAATGAGCACGTATAGCAACCAGGCCTCATCAGAGCTGACTGTCATTGATAAGCTATGTGACCTTGAGCAGGACCTCTTAGCTCTACGAACTTCAGTCTTCTCATTGGTAAATTGAGGAAGACAAGGTAGTACTCTGCTTCCAGGTCTGAGGTCTGCGGGAAGCTCCTTCAGACCCGCACACTTTAGGATGTTCCCTCCCCACCAATATTTACATTTTCACAGAAGACAAAGTCTCAAGCAACAAACCTCAAATTGGGTAGTTAGCAGTCTCTGCCCCCCAAAAGGGAGAAGTATGACAGCATTAAGAGGCTGTGCCCTTGTCACCAACTATAGCCATATATGAGGCCAGAGTTGAACAAATTGTCACAAGGGAGGAGGCAGGCAGACAGCTGAGCAGAAATCCTCAGGTCCCTGGAAAATGAATGAATTTCCTAAAATAAAGTCAAGCCAAGGCTCCCTACCCCAAAGAAAGTTCTGGCAAGAAGAGGTGGCTTCCTACCTGAGGCACCAGCCAGGTGTGTCCAACTGTTAAGAGCCTGCAGCTCAGAGCCAGAGTGACTTAACAGAGGGAACTTAATGAATAAAGAGAAACAGTGAAACCACATCAGACCACACCTCCTCTGAGCTCCACCCACGGCTGCCTTTGCAGAAGAGCAGATGAGGTCAGGGCACACGGAGAACAAAGAGACTCCTGGGGTCCATATGTCCCAGGGAGTACCCAGCCTGAAGCTGGGGTTGAAAGGTCATCATCTGAATTCTCCACTCTGTAGAAAATCACTTTTATTTTCTTCCTTTTCTTGAATTTACTTCACAGTTTTTATTGCTCCATTCCCTAGTAGATCAACTTTGAAAGCTTCCAACTTGCCTGACAAGAATAAAAAAGGAAAGTATTTGATGTCTTACAGTCGAGACTTCAGAAGGAGTCCACTGTAGGAGGGACTTAGGGCCAAGCAGGTGGGAAGGGGTGGATGACTGTGCTTATGCCATTTTCGGACATCAATGCACAATCTTTACATACACCGGGGGAGATATCTGGGGGTAAAACCAACTCCCCTCCACTACTAGCCACTCTTTTACACAACTATTGCCAATGACTGGCTGATTAGAATGGCTGGGGGGCTGGGGGCAGGGGCCATCCCTGGAGTCTGCCTGGATTGCAGAGACATTGTAAGAGCTGGGGTGCTCTGGGAACAGAAGAGATGGGGTCAAGGTCACTGCTACCCTCATCAGTAATAACAAACAGCTTCTCTGAGAGCCTGCCTTACCTGCCCCCAGCAGTTAGTGATTGTCCTCTGACTGGACTCCTCTGGTACCTTCATCACATCTCCATTACAACATGATCCCAATGATGCCTTTACAAGTCAGGCTTCTCCCCAGACTGTGAGCCACAAGAGGGTAAGGATCTCTCCAATTCACCAGGTAGTCTTGCCAGGGAATATAGGAGCTCTCAGTCAATGAT